TAAGCTGCACACGGGGGGGGGGGGGGTCTGACATGGCTTGTGGGGTCGGAAGCTTACTCCCTGTCCTGTCAGCGGCTCGCAGTGCTCACTGGTGCCACCGAAAGTGACCAGGTAGTCTTTCCCATCCAAGAACCTGATTTCTCAGCTTCAACAAGTTAGCATCAGGGGAACTTGTATTCGAAGCCGGTCAACTCCTTAAGTCTCCACAAGCCCCAAAAGACAATGACACAAACAACAACAGGCCACGAGGTGTGGCAGACGGAGGCGTGAAAGGAGCGCCAGTCAGGTGCAGGTCCACGAGTTCGAACCGCCTCGAGCACGAGTAGGACTGCTGAACCACACTTGGGCTCTTTAGTACGATAAAATGGCAGATTGTCCTTTTGTCTTGTACTTAGCTGCATCGATGACTTGCTTCGGTACGATAAAACCGTAACAGTAGATACAGCAAAACGAGGACGCAAGTCGCAATACAATCTTTCTTGTGCTTTCTGACCGTCACGGCTATTGCATTTTGTCATGTTGACGACACGGACGATAGGGCTGCACAGACTTCATGGGAGATTAGGATACTTTCGGAACAACAGGGAAGCAAACTTTTCGATCTCTTTAGTGTGGTACTGCTCGTGTCATGGACAGCGCTTCTTCGAACAGGGCCACAAGATGCTCTTTTGCACCGGCTTTATAGAGCTGCTGTCCCCCAGAACCACGTGAGGCCGCGTGTGGCCGCCTTTCATTACAAGTTGCCAACATTGCATGGGTTTGCCGGCGATATGCGTGTCTTTGCCGTTACGCTCCAGTCTGCTCGGCATCTGCTGGACATTGCTGCAAAGGCGAGCTCAAAGTGTTGCTCGGCAAAGACTCTGCTGTTGTTTTGCATGTACTTTGTGATTCTTGTTGTTTTCCCCGGATAGAATAAGCCTGCTTCTTGCTTTTTCTTGCTCCCGTGGCATCGAGAATTGCATTCTGCTTGAACTTCCCCTGCTGATTCTTGATGGTCTTGGCTTGCGCACGTAGCTGCTGCAACATCTGGCCGGCCTTGTCATTGCCTGCTTGCCTGATGTTGCCTGTGCTTCATGTGCTCAACCTCTTTCTGATGATGGGCTTCCCTACCAGTAGCAGTCCGATTGCATGTCTCACCTGACATCGCACAACCAAGTGTAAGTGTTGAAGCCAACCCTGGCGCTTCCTGCTTGGACATCATCTCACCGTACAAGATAGGCACGCCAAGTAACAAAGACATAGGCGTAAAATTTTCATAGCAACCGCAAACCTGACACGGATGAAAATCGGATTCACATCACAGTCTTACGGAAAGTGCTCTAACGCTGTCTGCTTGCTGCTACTGTGGCTGACAGGCTGACAGGTAACAAACAAGAATGGTGTGATGATTCTTTTTAAGTTACAATCGTTCGTTTCACCACGGCAAAATCATAAGTATAATATGTCAGGTCTATGCACAGCCCACGTCCTGCCTCCCAGGTGCAACTCCTGAGATCCAAGACATACCTTGGGCCGGCTACTCGTGGAGGATGGTTTCCTCTGGGCTAATAAATACTGTTATCATGTGGGCCAGCGCTCAGGAGCCATTTGTTGTGAAAAGGTCTGGCGCTCGAACGGCACACATGGGTGGCTTGGGAGGGGATGTCTATATAAACCAGCCCGAAATGGGCTGCTCGACTCGATGATGGTGAAAAGCTATCATCGCAATGACGTGGCTGACAATGGTCGTTGTCCAGGTCGTTCTCCCGGGTGCTGTCACTCTTCGCACCGGGGATCGGGATGCGACCAGGGCACACGAAATTGCAGCATGTTCTGTCCTGGATTCGCTCGTATTCGTCCTCCGTTGTGGGAATGTCGCCTCCAAACACCACTACCTGAAGCCGCCACAGGATCCGTGGACCGCAACAGGAGCTGAAACTTATTCAGGCTTGTCCTGGCCTTCTGCCCTCCGTTGAAGGACGAGCAGGTCAAGTTGTACATGTACTCGGGGATGGTCCCGAAAGCTTGCATCTCACACCAGCGAATCTGCGAGCCTGGTGGCTGAAAGCTGCGGTTTCTGCACGTACGCACAGGGCCGAAACGGTGCATCGGGATCGAACAATGAGACCCGGCAGCCAACTAGCCATGAATGAAGTGAACCGTATGAACCCGTGTGGAAGCCTTTCCTCAGGAGGTTGCCGTTGCCGACAGGTCGCCATCTTCCTCCGTCACCTGGAGGAAGACAAGTCTCTGCAAGGCCGGTCGAGGCATTCCCAGCCTGTCAAGAAAATCGAAGCAAAGTCAGGTTTGCCATCGGAGGGTGCTTTAACAGTGGGGAGTCCTGGAAACGCCTCCGTGTAGATTCAGTGTAGATGCCGGAAGTGGGCCAGCTGTTCAAAAGCTTATGCAGTTCAACGGTGAGATTTCGAGGTAACTGGTCACACCACACGAAATGCAGTACCATCCGGCCTGGCTGCTCTGGTGTTGGCATCGTGGCCCCCGAGGACCAGCACGGCGCTAGGGTATGCCTCCGGCGAGCATATCCACAATCGCAGTTGGTAAGGCTTACAGACAGGACACAGCGTCCTGCGCAGATTAAAGGCTGTACTCTCAATCCTGGCTACCAGTACTACTCCTGCTGCTACAACTATTCCTCCTCCTACTACCACCACCACCACCATCATTGATCAGTACTAATCGCTCCAGGCGACGAATACGGTTACCACTGATCACCATTTTTTGCCTCTCGCCAGAATGAGGAAATGTTCTTTGTGCTTTCAACTGCTAGTGTGAGCGCGGTTTTTTGGATGATACCACTTCATCCACTGCTTGCCGAGCTTCTGAAGCCGGCAAGTGCTTCGTCTTGACCACGCAGGTGGCGTGGCGCATGCGCTGCAGGGGCTTCAAGGAGTCCTTCCACAGCGGCTGACGGGGTAGAGAGGGCGTACTGCATGGCTGGCTCGTCAGTAAGGTACTTGTGAGCAGAAAGTCCTCCTTGAGGCTTGGACGGCTGATCGTGTTGCGGTGGAGATTGATAACAGTCACATTGATCAGCTCATCTGGAGAGACCATGTTTTTCATGCCGCCGATCCTTGGCAGGTTTCTGCAAGGCCACTGAAGGGGGCCAAGCCAGCACACAGCAAAGGCTCTGTATCACCAGCGGGCCCATCATTTCTGCGGTGTGGCCGGACAAGCCCAGCAAGTCCTGCAGTTTCCGAGGCGGCTACGCGTGCACCGCCTGTTCCCCTAAGCCGTCCTTACCATCGGGGGCAGCTGGGACATTGTCTGGCTCGGCCAGAGAGCGCAACAAGCTTCGACGCAGGGTGTGGTCGTAGCAGAAATCCTCGCCATGTCAATCCGCGAAGGGCCACAACAAACAGCAGCTTCTAGCAAAATGTCGCTAACTGCGTTCTGAAATCATGAGCCTTCAAGAAACGGATCAAATAACTGATCCGCTGGACCCGACATAAGCGAGCACAAGCAGCACGGCCACCCGGTTTTTTTTTAGAATGCCAACCCTGCCTCGCATCTCCAGGCTGCACGGAAAAGTCGCTTGTAGAAGCGAGCCTTGTCACCTCCAAGGAAGGAAAGCTCAAACAAAGCTTCAAGTGTACTAATGTAGTAACATGCAGTAATGTAGGAACTACTGGATGCTGCACATATTCCGCGGCAGGCCCGGCCTATAGAGGTCACATCCCTGGAAGATGCCCAGCTTCCCTCATGAAGTAGCAACGACGTCTCTCCGAGAAGAAACTGGCAAAGCGCCTGTGCCGTACGAGGAATAAGGGGCTGTGGGCTCTGCAGCTCTGCCAGCGCGAGAGAATTCATTCCCTTCGCCCCCGCCTTCCACAAGTCAACCGAGTGCTCTACACGTTGGTGGAACTCGCCGCAGGTCGCGCCAAGGTCCTTCCACGGGTTTAGTCGGCATTAAAATGTCAGAGCATCCTGCACGCACACATGATGTCCAGCAGCGGCCGTGCGGGAAGAAAGCAGCAAATTCGAACCAGCGCATCTTCGCTGATGATCTGAACACGGTGATTCCACCACCGAGTTGGGCACACAACAGTACAATGCATGCTGGTCTCGGCAAACAGCTGCGATCACCTACCCGGCCTCGACCAGTGGCCGCCCAAAACCAGCCATGCTAAATGCGTTAAATGTGCAGTGGTGGTAACAGGCGGCTTTCTGCAAAGCGTAGAGTGTGACTTAAGTTAAGTATGAACACTTGATAGATAAGCCGAATTTAATTGGTGGAGTGCAGCACTTAAAAGATTGAGTGAATACATGCACTTTCATGCCGAGCTGGCTGTGGCTTTGCTGAATCCATGAAGCTTGAACTATGTACAGCCCAGCTCCGCTCCACAATGGCGAAGCTTGAGAGGTGGTTCAGGGTAGCACACCATGGCGAAGCAAACAATCCAAGGAGATGCGGCGGCAAAAAGCATCAAAAAGCTTTGAGCCACTGCCCCATTGACCACCGTGACACAGATATACAGGTATAATACTGGCAGAGCGCGCATTGTAGTTTCTTTGCTCCTGTTCGTGTGCTCTTCCACAATGCTCGCTGCTTTTAGGAGGTCCTTCACTTCAAAGTGACACTCTCCGGACGTGGCACACCGCACGGCTTCTTCTTTTTCCGGCACCAACGTGTTCCCGGACTCTGTGCAGCACATCTCTTCTGAAGACAGAATCCAGAAGTGTAGTGTCACATGCAGCTCTTGATTTGCAAAAGCTGCGGAAAAGGGGCTCGGTGGCCAAGGTCTGAACAACCCACAACAGCCAGCGTGCTTTGAAAATTGTCTATAAGATTGTCTCGGTCGGTGCGGCTTTGCCATCACCGGCCTCATTGACCGGCCAGCGTTCGAAACCTAAACCAGCAGCAAGAGTGCAGATTCCGGGTGATATAGTTCGCGTCGCGACAGGCGTGAGAGCAGAAGTACATGAGTACATCATCTTACTAAGGAAAGTCTGCCCAGCAGCGGTGCCATGCACATGTGGAAGACACCACGCCAGCAAGATTTCAGACTCTGAGGGAGCACGCCCAACTGCAGCCTGACCTCATTGCTTTCAGAGTCCCTCCTGGAAAATGCCGCTCCCCCTCCACTCGCAGCACAAACACGCACCAGCCGAGCCCTCTGCAACGAGAGGGTAAACGAAGTCAGGGAGCTTCTGCCCGGCCTCCGGATCTTTTTCGCACAGCTCAGAAGTTCGATCGAACCAATCCACAGACGGAATCTGAACAACTTGAGACTTCTGGCTTCCTGCCACATGCTCCCCGCCTGCGGCAACGGGATCAGTGTACCACCAAAGCCTGGAAGAGTGGACCTTGCTTGTGCTCCCAGACACTCGATTTAGCACGCTGGGCTCGACATGTGAGGGCCGAAATCATGGCCAAACAGTGTAAGAAATGTAATCGCATCACCCGTCTTTCAGCGATGGGTAGTGGTGTGTTGCACCTTCAGCTTCAGCTTGCTTATTTACGCACTATCCCACCACCTGTGGGAATGGCAGGCTGGGTCAACGCTTCAACATGGGTAAGTCACGGGCTTCCGCACAATGGCACGCTGGTGGCTGAACTCGTCGAAGCCAAATTTGCCATGGTACATTCCAAATCCCGACTCACCCAAGCTACCTTCAGCTTCACTCAGCTTCGCAAGTTCACTCTCGCAACTCGGTCACAGCAAGTTCATTGTAGGTTTTGGTGCTAAGGGTCTAGGGCTTAGTCAGCCATACGAAGAAACTCTTCCCAACGGTTCGGGCTTGCTGGCTTTGCACACAGGGCGGTGTCTTGAAGTTGCCAGATAGTTCTTCCGAAGCTTCATCCAAGAATCCGAATGGGATAGACTCCGGAACAACTTGCTCGAAGGTGGTGTTCACTCCGGCGCCCCCACTCTGAACAGTGGTCAAAGCCTTCTCCACGTTGCCTGGAAATCTCATGCAGGCATGGGCATGATGGGCATATATGGGCATGCAGAGGCTTGCATTGAAAAAGGGGCGCAGCTTTCATGCTCTTTATGAGCGAATGCTAGCAAGTGCCCGGGCACGGGAGCTCTCCGAGAAGACATAAAAAGCCAAGGGGATCTCCCCCTTCCTGACGATTTCCAGCGCCTCCCTCACAAGGCACAGGGAGCAAAGAAGCGTAGACTGGTGCTGCAGACAGAAAGCACTTTCATTCAGCAGAGGCTCTCGAAGTTGTCATAGGGAATGACGGGCAGGACCGGGCCGAAGATCTCCTCCTTCCTTGTGCTACATGGGCCAATGGGGGCCTGATTTGCGCCGTCTTTATCCCAGCCAAGCTTCATGATTGGAGCATCCATGTTCGGCTGCTTGATGATGGTGGGAGGTACGAAGCACTCGCTCTTCCGGACGCCCTGGACAATGCATCGGTATGCCTATCCTGGTGCAACTGCTCCCTGGCTCTCTGTCTGCGCAAGCCCCGACCTCAATTCCTCCATGAACGACCTCACCGCCGCAAGTCTTGATCAGCTTTTCCACTCGCTCAGTGTGGCGCTCGTTCACGAGGTGCCCGTAATCTTCTGCGCAAGGCGGGGCAGGAATAGGGTTGGCCCGGTTTGTGTGGAAGTTGAGCCCCGACCGACCTTGCTGCCTGCCGTCTTCTCCATAGCTGGCCTAGTTGGCATGGCATTTAAGACGGGAAAAAACTTCAAACAAGTCTGAGCAGGCTCCTTGGCGAGTTCTGTCATTTTCTGTATGAACTCCTCCTCCTTACTCCTGTGCACGAGCACGTAGTCCTTAGCTCCGGAGCGCATCATGCAACCGCATGTCTTCCTGCTGGAACGATGTACCTGCTACATGTGCTATCGACGATCTCAACTCTCACAACTGCGACACGATAAGGACCCGAGTCAAGACTCAGGTGCCACGCAAATTTGACCACAAAGCATCCACTTGGCAAAGGCAATGCGGCCGCAGGCCACATCCAGCTGGGCAGGGCATGTCACTGGCGCAGACGATAAATGTAGAGTAACCATATTTTCGTCACCTGACTACAAACTCCTGACTTGTGCGGTGGCAGCTTGTCCCGTCCTTTGCCGTCTCGTCAACAAGTACCTTGATGAAGGGTCATCGACTTACCAACGCCCGCGAGAAGAAACTACAACAATAACAACTACAATTACCGGTCGCGCATGCCGGACTATGGCCAGATGCTGGAGACTTGCCGCCCAGCTCCATGGTCACCTCGGTAAACGAGGAAGCAGGCTTCAAGTGGCTTCTTTCCTTACTCGAAGTTCCCAAATCAAGCGCGGTTAAGCAGGTACTTTTACTCTCAGGGTGTGCTGACGGCCAGGATAAACCGCTTGCGGGCGGCGGGCTGTTCGACCCTCATGGACTCTAACGGTCTAATGGCAGGTACTGGAACCCTAGCTGACGTCTCTTGGCCAGTTGCTGGTGTCAAGTGCTTGGCGGCTGCAGCCATGACAACACGCCCGATTGCCCCGTTTCTTTTCAGGGAGATTCGGAGACACGGTCCATGGCCATGTGGCACCACGTCTCTGCATGCGAATCGCTTGGATCAGGGGGTCGACAGCACTGGCCGATGACACATGTCCGTATTCTCAGGCCTGTGTAGAAGATGTGGTCCCATCGGTTGTTCAGAAGCGCTGTGGTCTCCGTCACCGCACCCTCGATCACCCTGCTACGCTCAAACGGAAGAACTGCTCGTCAAGAAGACATGGCATACGCTCCCCTTGGCTCTCGCCTTGCCTGAAACAGTCTGGATTCATGTACTTGTGAATGAGTTTGGCTATCAGCGGCGAGGTCTTTGGGTTGAGCTCGCTTGGTTTCAAAACCTTGGCTTCTCTGTAAGCAACACGCGATGACGGTCCTAGGGTTGTACGAAGTACGAAGGACCCCATCAGTCTGCACCAAGTTGTTTCCGCATTACTTCTCTAGCCACTGCCATGCTTGATTGATGCATGCGACGGCCAAATTGCCAGCGGCAATGGCGGATGCCAGGGGTCGGATAAGCAGCTGCCACGGCACGTTCCTCGGAAACACGGCTGCTGCAATTCAGACTGAGTCGCCTCCATGCATGTACGATGCCCTTTCTCTTCGACGAAGACTATGCTTCACTGACAACCCAAAGCAACGTACTCGTGCAGGAGGCAGTGTCCATGGAGCAATGATCAGTACGACTCCCTTTGGCTCCGGGCGGACGCACAACCTGCCCACCGCAAGGGACATCAAACCAGCGTGACGCTCTGTGAACTGGTGAGCCGGCGCATTGCTCGATGCCTACGTCAAGGTGTTTTGGTGGTGGTGGCTCCTTGGATCTATCGAACATAGAAACATGGCCGTGAGCTCGCCATGCAATTCGATCCTACTCCTGTATAGAGATCAGCAATGGCTTGCTATTGGGTTCCGCAGCTGGGCTGTTCGAAACTACGTCAATGCTCCCATCATGGCTCATGGTTGCTACATTTGGGAAAGCAGGCCGGGATAGTGGCGCAGATGGCAGTGCAGCAGCGGACATGGCTTCCACCAACCCTTTGCGAGCGAGACGGCCTGTGGACCCAGCCTTCCACCCAGCGCTCTCCTTCGCATGAGCTGAACTTCGCGGTGCCCGACAGAAAGCAAGTCACACTATCATCATCAGTAGTAGTCGTCGTCGTTGTTGCTGGGGCCAATGGCATGCGCAAACACGTAAACCAAGACGACAGCTATCCTAATGCATGGTCCTGTTATTGGGTAATGGTGAGAATGGTACGCCCAGAGTCCACAAGACTGATCACGGCACTCGTAGGTCGCAGGTGCTGGGCCAGGGCTCTGCTCCAGGAGTCGATGTTGGCCAGCGCATGATCAACGCCTGCTTTCACACGAGCCACACGAGGCTCTTTATATTCGACAGGGGGCTTTGGAAAAAAAGGAAGCAGGTACTAGTACTTGTAGTGGCAGAACGGCCAATCCCTCACGGCCTGGTGCTGCTGCGATCTCAGGCATCCCTCGCATCTTCGTGCCACCCATGTCTTCAGCGATGGTGTTGCTGATCACTTCCTGGTGCCAGAGGCTGTTGACGAGGAGTCTCGGGAGCTTGGTCTTTGCTGAACAGGCTGGCCTGCGTTACACATTCATATATGATAATTGCAATCCAAGTGGCATGGTTTTCCTCGTACATCTTCAGCAGCCTAAGCTAATCAGCTATGCACTGACGCACCCGTAGACGTCGCATGTCTTGCAAGGCGCAAGCTAAGTGGATGCCAGGCTGCTGCTTCAGCTGGGTCTTACGCCAGGAAATGTCCCTGGGGGAAATAGGACTTGTCCCAAAGCTGTGCCGGGCTTTGCTGTTCTGCAACCCATGTGCCGAATCCACCAAAGAGCCCGAAGACACTTCAAAGTCTGACACCTAAGAACGGTCGGTGCCTCGATCTGCCCGAATTGAAAGTCTGCCGCATGCTCGCCAACAGCTGCCCATACTCGGTCGTCAGCTCCTCGTCCAGAAACATCCTAATCCTAATTCTGAAGGTCCTCCGACTCCGAATGCTTCCTGCCAGGACCTCCTAATAAGATGATATAGCCAACAGCTCCCTTGACGAATTCGAACTCCAAGACTATGGACGAAACCAAATTCAATGGTGTACAATGGTGACGAGGATTCCGCAGCCTGACTCCAAGCTGTCTCCAGGCCTCCACGCTTGGGGATGGGGCCATTTCTGCTGCAACGGTCTCCGTCACAACAGTCTAAGTCTAAGCAGCTCCTCTGCTCGGCTTGAGCAAGGACTGCCGAGGTTGACGGGCTTGCTGCTGGAACTGGATGCTCAACTGCGACTGCCAAGCAGCTACCCTTCGAATGGAAGGCTACCACCCTCTACGAGGTCGCACCATCCCCGGAGGCGCTGCGTTGACCATAGACTTTCGACAAATGAGCTGGCTTCAACTGCGACGCAAAACTGATGCTTGGTTGTTTTGCGCGGAGTTCATCCCTCAAAGCATGGTATGCTGTTCAGTTCACGGCTACCCTACGCAGGCACAGTGCTCCGAGCCATTGCAATCAAGGGCTGTGGCTTGCATCCGGTGCAAGGGATTTCAGCTCCCTTCGGACGTTACCTCGAACTCTGGGTTGGGCGGCTGCTGGCGGCAGTGGCACCTGCGAGCGCATTCCTGTGGACAGTAAGGAAGCCGTCTCCAGGTGCGCAAATTGCCGCAGCTTCCTCTGAAGCTTGTCCCTGCTGCCAGTATCGGCTGCTTCAACAGAAACCTCAAACATGTGTTGCCAGTTCTTGCCAGTGACAAGAAAAGTCTTGGAAGCCGGCAAGTAGGCAATACCGTTAGCCACATGAAACCCAAACTGCTCTTCGGGGTCTTGCTCTCCGAAGCCTTCCAAATCGAAAAAGGACGTGCATTCGAACGTTGAGGGGTCGATGCCGAGGATGAACCGGGTCCTGTAAAGGTTTCCAAAGACCATAGGCCCCTTGCCATCGAAATCAGCGACAAACTCAAGCTCATTCAAGCCTGGGACCTTATAACCCATGCACATCACAGGGGCCACCCGATTCAGCGCAAGAGTCTGAGAGTCCATTTCCATCAAAAACTCCGTACCGTTGGTTGCGAAGTATCGGCCTTTCGTCTTGTCAAGGCAGAGTCCCCAACCCTCCTCTATGGGGTAGTCCAGCTCTCTATCGACGGAAAGGTCTGCGTTGAAGCGAACCGCCTTGTGACCATGGTATGTCGCAACGAGCCATCCATCGGCAGTAGGTGCTACATCTTCTGCGAAGCGACCTGATAATCCAGACTTAGTTGTCTGCAGCACTGAGCCGTCCTTCAGGTCGATCAGGCGAATAAAGGACTCAGTTCCTGCTGGGTATGCCCCGCTCGTTTCAATCAGCTTGCTCTGACCAGCTAGCTCTAGCCCTTGGGTAAAGGGAGCCCCCTCATGTGGCAAAGTGCGAAGGATTTGTGCTTTGTAACTCGCCGGCGCTGCGACGGAACACGAAGGGACCAGCGCCAGCGAAAGTATGAAGAATTGCTTCATCGCCCTTTGCACCCCTGAGGGGTGCAGGGCCTGCTAAGTTATCTCGTGAAGACCTGAAAGGAGCCACATTGGCTGCGGACGCAGCTCAGTGGAGCAGCACCGACAAAGAAACTTGTCTGAGTCGGGCTCAGCAGGAAAACACACCACAAGCTGCAAGCTCCTGTTTTAGACTCATATTTTAGACTTTTTAGACGGCTCCTTTCTGTCAGACGACGAAGGGGTCTTCGGCCTCAGTGGGCCTCACGTGCAGGAAGGAGTTCAGGCTGCGGGCAAAGTGTACCTTTTGGCTGGTGTCGTTGACCTTGCTGCCATCCATAGCAATGTTCCAAAACGCGTAGCCGCGAGGTCGCTTCGAAGGATCAGCCTCTTGATAGGCTCTCTGCACCTGGTCGGGCCAGAAGAAGGCAGACCTCCCTGCTGAGCTTCCCGGTGCAAAGCTCAAAGCCGCAATGAAACGGCTGGGCTCCAAGTGAACAGGCACCAACCCTTTCAAAGGAAGCATCGGGTCGGTAACGTTGATCTTCCACCCAGCCAGGAGGGCTTTGCTCCAAAGACGCAGGTACTCGTCGCCAGGCATGCCCATATCCAAACTCCGAAGAGCTGGTGAGAAGGTCTCGTAAAGTTGCACCTCTACCAGGTCGAAGGTCCCAGCTGGAGCAGCCGCCAACAGATACGCATAGCTATTTCTGCCCATGTAATGAAATTCAGGATGCCACTGCGGGTCCGAATTATTTAGGAATCGGTTGAACTCCTGCGTGGTGACGTCGAAATAGGACTGTGGTGGGGCCAGCGTTGCCAGCAAGCCAGCCGTTTTGGCGGCAACGGACATGTCAATCACCAGCTGTAGGCATTGAGGAGTAAATTCATTGTCGCGGGATGACACATCGTCGTTTCCCTCCAGATCCCAGTCGAAGCCATCGAAAGGCACCGGCAGCCGGTTGTTCCATTCGTTCCACACATCAAACCACTGTTCTCCAATAAAGGAAGTATCTGGGTGCGGGGCGTCCCAACCACCAATAGTAATGAGGTGCGAGGTCGGCAGCCCCAACTGTTCAATAGCGCCCCGAACTTTTGCCACGCACTCAACGTCTGGACCACCGGTGATCGTCGGCTGTTGGGTGCTTTGGTCTTTGACCAAAGAAATCGCAAACCAAAAGATTACGTTGACACCCTCCTTCACAGCGCGAAGCGTCTCCGTCTCATTGCAGGCGGACCAATCCTGCCAGGCTGCTATGATGGGACCATCCGGGAGACTCCCAGAAGCCAGGAGCGCCAGGGACGCCAGGAGAGCCTTGCTCAACATCCAGGATGCCGTGTGAGAGGGAGGCCCGCGAAGACTCTAAGAACGCTACTGCTCTGCCAAGAGTGCTCTGCTCTGCCAGCTGCAGACGGTTTGAGTAAAGCTTCCTAGAGGTTGCTGTCAGGAAGTGGAGTTGTCTTCAGTAGTTCAGATTAGCCCCTGCTGCAGAAACGCCAAGCGATGTACATCGGCCCCTCATCGGTTTCACCAGAGTCCGGGTGCCAGGATCCGGCAAGCACAACGCGCAGTGAATCGCACAAGGTGTTATTTTCGTCGGCTGCAGGCAGTAGATCGAGCAGCTGCGTCAGCTCGTGGATTCTGGGCTCCACATCCACGTGCTTGCCTTAGAAACTCGAGCACATAAGCAAGAAAGTTGTAGACGCACGCTGACCGCTGACGCTGCACAGGGCTTGTTACTTCCCTTTCCAGGAAGTCGTTCATGTGACAGCTCGAAGCTAGGTTTCACTCTTAACCTGGCCTTCAGGGTCCAGCAGTATTTGTTTCGCCACGCCAGCGGCTTGCGACCCATTGAAGTCGCTCCTCGGGTCACTTGGCTGAGAAGCTTCGGCCCTCCGGACCCTGGCAACAGCCGCAGACCCCAGCACCTCGTTCTGCTGCAAGCGACAGCGCGGCTCAACACAACAGCACAAAAAGAAACGAAACACACACGTTCACTTACCCACTGTTCATGCGTGTCCATCCATTCCATCCATGCATGCATCCATCCTCTAGCCAGCCAGCCACACACCCGTACATACGTATCATGTGTGCATAATGTATACTGTATATACGTATGACATGCGACATGTGTGCTGGTACATGCAGGTGCGCATGTAAATGTTTACTTTCATGTACGTGTGTGTGTGTGCGCATGTGAGCGACAGACAGACAGTCAGTCAATCAATCAATCAATCAACCAATCAATCAACCAATCAAACAATACATCTATGTCTATATGCAAGTATGCATGTATGTAGGTATGTACGGTATGGGATTGTAGTGTACCGTCAGGTGTGTATGTATGTATGTCTGTCTGTCTGTCTCTCTGTGTGAAAATAACACGTCTTATCCTGCCCCTCGACTTTGCCACTTTGGTGGCTCAAGACGACTTTGCCCTGAGTGGAGAAAGG